GAAGCCGGTGGGCAAGCAGATTGAGAGGAGGAGGGGAGCTGGAGAGGGTTTATAGAGGAGCGGAGAGAAAGCTGGCTTGTATAGGATGGTATGTATTGTGTACCATGTATTGTGTGTACTGGTGTGTATAGGATGGTCCTGTGCTTTCGTGAGCTTTGTGTGGGGAATTTTGCGCCTTTCACAGTAAAGCTGGATGACTTGAAAGCAAATATATCTGCAGAAATCAAACTGACACGGTTTTCCCACCTTACCGCAGATCTAGCTGACCGAGAAAGTGTTTAGTGTCTAAAATATCCTTCTTTAGTTTTGCACTAAAGCTACAAAATCATTAGAATCAGTATTGAAGACACTATAAAGTGTCATAAAAGCTTACACAGCTACGTCTCTTTGTTTGCACTCCCCAAAATTCAAATAATACCAACATGTCACAAAAGCACAATTGAAAAATATGCAAATCTATACAGAAACTATACGAGAGTAAGCATTAATGTTTAGCTGCCATATAAATGACTGCAATTGACAATTGAATCGCCTTTTTATTTATTCTTTGCAGCTATTAAAGTAGCTTTTTTGGTTCCTTCACACTTCAAGGTGGTTCTTCAAGGGTTCTTTAGTAAATAAAGTGGTTCTATATAGAGCCATGAACACTCGAAGAACCCTTTGCATGATTAAACGGTTCTTTGCATCATGAAAGCGCTCTTCAGATTGACGGAGAATGTGTTTTATAATGGTTCCATATAGAACCTTTTCAAAACAGGCTCTATGTAGCACCAAAAAGGGTTCTTCTATTGTTACGATGTCAAGCCCCCTTTTCAAAAAGGTTCTGTATAGAGCCCTCTACAGCACATTCACCGTCAATCTGAAGAACACTTTCCCGATGCAAAGAACCCCTGAATCATGCAAAGGGTTCTTGGAGTGTTCGTGGTGCTATACAGAACCATTTTCTTTACTAAAGAACCCTTGAGGAACCATCATTTTTAAGAGCTGTCATTGCTAAGTAGCATTAAACTGGTGACGGTAACAGCTCGAGCTCGAATAAGCAAACATTCACTCCTGTCCTCTGAAGGTGTTAACACTAAAAATACAAACGTTACTCACTGCTGCCCTCTAAAGGACTCAGAAGATGGATCAGCTTAAATAATTGCAATCAGGCGCTTATATAATAATTATAGCAGGCCTTTGAGAGACTCTTATTATGGATGCAGGAACAGCATGACTGGATATCATTTACTTTAAATGAATAAAGCTTATTCTTTATATACGTGTCCTGTGTACTTGGCTTGATGTCCGGTCTTCTGTCTGTTTGCTCTGTCCAGGCAGGTCAGTCTGAGAATGTGTGTTGCTGGTGTTTGTTAGTGCTGCTCAGGCTGATGTGATTTGCACACAGGTTTATTGTCTTGTCAGTAGATTATGATGTTTGGGTAGAGCCGGTTGCGTCTGCTTATGGGTGTTTGCTAGTCGAATCACCCTTATTGTAACTGCGCTGTGTTGTGTGACTGATAGGGGCTGCTAAATTTCCTTCGGGATCAATAAATGTCTGTCCGTCCGTCCGTCTATCTCTCGCCCTGTCTCACAAAGCATGTTCAGCTAAATCAGTTAACAAAGCCTTACAAATGAGACCACGGTTGACTTTATCTGTGCGTCTTATATGTCTGTCTGTTTTCATGTATTCATTTTTAAATTAATTTGGAACAGTAATTAACGTTTGTTTATAAAAAAAAACCCTTTTTACACAACTGTTGTTGATCCAAAATGCTGCACAGCGTAGAGAAAAGATTGAAGTACGATTTAAAAAGGTCATTTAAAATCAGGGTCAACCCCAAAGGTCATCAGGACGATCACAACACACCAAACGTACACCCACGCTTCACCTGACGGGTCGTTCTCCTATAAGGTTGCCGTTGTGGAGGTGTGTTGTATGTGAGCTGGGTGTTTGTGTGGTGGTCTGGGCCGTGTGCCGTCCCCGTCCCCGTCCCCTGCCTGTGGTATTTCACACCGCTCCCTCACCGGCCCTGCACGCACACCTCGTACTGAAGTGTGACCTGATGCTGTAGGGGTGCGGCGGCTCAGAGGGAGATCGGCCTGGCCTGTTTCACTCGAACGTTGAAAAATATCAACATCAAAACGATTAGTCAGAGAACTCAAGGGCACACATACAATTCCTTATCCCTCCAAAATCTGCTGTTTGCGCATTTTTCCCCCCCCTTACCTCAAATGTAGTCGGTCAGCCAAGTCAGTTTTGTGTCTGAAGTTCTCTAGTTTTGCTGAGAGCTGCAAGCCTAATGTGGCTAACAGTAAAAGTGGAAAAAAGTGCGGTCACTATTCAGGCTCTAAGGTGTTTTTATCTCTATAACATACTTTTTGTTAATGTTTATTCAGTGTCAGACTAAGCTGTTATCTAGAGCTAGCTATTAGAGATTACTTACAGGGGAATTCCACCAAAGTTTCAAAATTTCTGCCTAAATGGTTAAGATGTCATTCAGAGTGGGTTGGTGTGAAAGGCTGTGTTCTAGGGAAACCTACAGAGTCAGAACTGTTCACAGTGGTGGTGATAGGAACCAGACGTCCACCTCTAAAAGCTCCCTCACAGAAAGTTACTGCATTGTTTTGCAGTAGTATTTTTTTAAATCCATTCATGGTGGAGGGATACATGGAGAGCGTTGTGAGGCAAAATAGTCCCCAAAGAGAACTTTTTTTCAGATTTTCTACTACTGAGTCTCTACAATCAGCCATTTCATGTCAGATCACTCTGCATGACTTTTACACCTCAACAACTGAATTATGTAGAAATTTTAAAATTCTGACATTTCCTGCCCAGTGAGCGGTTCCTTTAGACGGCTTTCATTTTTCCTTTTTTGAGTAAACAGTTTAGAACCTCTGACCAAACTGTAAGATGTGAGCTCTGCACTGCCCTCTGGTGGAGTACACAATTCATATCTCATGTACACCAAGCAACCACATCATTAAGTCCACCTCCTTGTAGCTACGCTGTTTGTCCACTTTATCAGCTCCACTGACCATATAGGAGCACTTTGTAGTTCTACAGTCACAGACTGTGGTCCATCTGTATCTCTGCATACTTTGTTACCCTGTTCCTCGGTGGACAGGACCCCCACAGGACCCCCACAGAGCAGGTGTTATTTGGATGGTGGATCATTCTCAGCACTGCAGTAACACTGACGTGGTGGTGGTGTGTTAGTGTGTGTTGCGCTGGTCTGAGTGGATCAGACACAGCAGTGCCGCTGGAGTTTTTAAACACCTCAGTGTCACTGCTGGACTGAGAACCAAAAACATCCAGCCAACAGCGTCCTGTGGGCAGCGTCCTGTGACCGCTGATGAAGGACTAGAGGATGACCAGCACAAACTGTGCAGCAGCAGATGAGCTATCGTCTCTGACTTTACATCTACAAGGTGGACCGACAAGGTAGGAGTGTCTAATAGAGTGGACAGTGAGTGGACACAGTGTTTAAAAAATCCAGAGTCTGACCTGATCTACTCTATGGTGGTCCTGTGGGGGTCCTGACCACTGAAGAACAGGGTGAAAGGGGGCTAAGTAAGTATGCAGAGAAACAGACTACACTCTGCTGTCATGTCGTGACTTCCCTTCTCTGCAGAAGGTTCACATTCTTCACACATGCACTTTGCACCATGCGCACTATGCTAATTGCACATAAGCTTTTATGACACATTAGTCTCGTAGCTCCGGTGCAAAACTAAAGAAACAAACTTCAGACCAAACATGTCTGAGCTTTCGTTTGGAGTAAGAGAGGAAGCTGGGTAAATTAAATTTATTTGCTGAACTGTCCCTTTTACCTGCCCTGTCACAACATCGTTCTGCAGACGAATCTTCTCTAATGATCTTAAGTGTTGACTGAAGTGTGAGTCAGGTGGGTTGGAGTCGGAGGACACTGAGCAGTGCAGTGCTGTGATCTTACAAAGCTGGATTTGAGTAACAGGGCGTCAGCTGTGCTCATACAGCAGCGTCTGAGTGTCAGAGCTGATTGAGGATCATGTTACTCCCAGTCTGGAGCTGATCACAACACAGCCACAGATCCAGGATCAGCGCCCTGACAGTCAGACCAGCAGTGTTCCCACCTAAGAAGCATCATAGTTTCTGTTTAGTGTGATATTTGAAGGATGCTGTTTGCAGAAGAAGAGAAAATGGAGATGTATTTAAGGAAGTGATAAACTGATGTTTCAGACTGTGGGGGATTCTAATTTGATAGTAATGTAGACGCATGCAGATGTGTTTCTCGGTCAGAACCATTTCCATCTAAAGCAATGAGGCTAGAAAAAGTTGGACTAATTGGATAAAAATCTTTTCAGCTTCAGGACCATCATTTTCTTCTTTTTCCATCTTTCATGTTTTTACTTCTTGCTTTTTCATCGCCTGTTTCAATTCATGTTCTTATTCCTGTTCTGATATTCTTGTTTCTTATTCATCTTCATTTTCGACACACTTTCAGGTTTGGGAGAAGACCTGAGGTCTAGATCTGACTTGATTTTTGATATTTTCTATGTTAAAATGCTTTGATTTGTTTGGCTTGGACAAATAAGTTCTCCAGTAGAACAGTTTTAAATGCCTGCTGTGCTGCTCTTTAACAAAATAACCCCCCTAAAATTATGACCACTAGAATTTATTCAAAAGTTTGAACACCCCTTGTTGGATTCCTTGTTTTGTTAATTTAAGTGTGAATAAGTTCCGCACCTTCTATAGAGACACACCTCTGCACATTTTAATGCACTGTTGAAATAAAATTACTGTTTATTTACTGAACTTAACATGTTGGGAGGGGGGCAGCGTTTGCATACAACTGTGTAGGCTCTTCATATCTTATGCTACATCATAACGATAGGCTGCACCCAGACGCCTAGTTTTGATCAGTGATGGTGGTTCAGTGAAAGACTTGTTTGTTTGTTTGTTTGTTTGTTTGTCTGTTACTGGATTGAAATCATTTCACCTTTAGTAATAAGGTTGTGTCTTGTGTCCCCCCCCCCAGAGTGCTGCAGCAGCCCCCAGTCCGGTGCTGGGAAACATGCCCCCCGGTGAGGGCATGCCAGGTGGTCCGATGCCTCCCGGATTCTTCCAGGTTAGACCACCTTTCTGCACTGTTGACAGATATTAGCTGCATTTCATATAGGCACAGTTTCCTGGACAGAGATTAAGCCTAGTCCTGGACTACACAGCGTTCTGAAAGAGTTTAGTCCAGGACTAGACTTAATCCTGACTGTGAGGAGACTTCAAGTACCTTTTTCTGCTTCATCCTGCTGCTCTGAAACCAGTGTCTGTGTTTACATGCAAAGGTTTTTGCCAACCCGATTAAATACATTCTGATTATAGATGAAGACTGAGGTGTTTATCTCACTCTACTCAACAATCTGATGGAAATCTCTGTTTACATCCACACTACAAGTAATCAGATCCAAAATGAGGCGCATGGTTAGACAACCACTTAGTGTAAACGTTACCATGACAATGAGCATCACGTGAGTCCAGTCAGAGTGAGATGAGCAGCAGTGAGCAGTGCTTGTGTTTTGAATTGCTTTAAAATGATGTCAGACTCAGGAAAACGTCCTTCACATGTCCTTATTAAAGAAGGCCGAGAGGAAGACGTCGTGTTCTGAGACACATAAGATGGACGTCCGTCCCACCGCCATCTTTTAAAGATCAGAGCATAAACTTCGTCTCCTCTGCAGACCAGTTTCTGCTCCGCCATGTTGAATGGTATAAACTTTCACTATGACGTGACGAACATGATCAGAACGGACTTAAACTTTCCGATAGGGAATGTAATCAGATACAGGCGTTTACACGGTTATTATTCTACTATTTAACTGATTATTTACAGGATTACCCACCTCGATCAATCTGATAGAAACTGTATTCTGAATGGCCTCAATCGGACTCGTCTATTCTGATTGAGCTGTTAGTGGGATTATCAGGCTGCATGTAAACGTGGCTGGTGAGAGAAACACAAGCTGATCATCTCATTCTGCACAAACAGTGATTTAACAGTATCTCAAACAGGCTTTTTACGGTCCTATGCTGCGATGCAGGAAGCGTAACTGGTGGTTATTTTGGTGGACAGTGAGGTCACACGTTGAAAGCTGTCCACACAGTGAAGCTCTGCTTTGCTCGGGTTACGTTTTCAGTTTTATTTTTTTCCCCCATTTTTGTCTCGTCTTCTTCACATGGCTTCATCGCACCGGTACTGGTCCAATATGTGTAGAACTGGATCAGCGCCTGCAGTTCTTGGTGTTTTTCTGCATTTTTTTTAATTATTTTTTTTATTTGCTCTCTTTAAATAGCCTGATGCCTAACGCCTCCTCCCCCTCCTCCTCTCCATCTCTCTCTCTCTCTCTCTCTCTCTCTCTCTCTCTCTCTCTCTCTCTCTCTCTCTCTCTCTCTCTCTCTGTCTCTCTCTCTCTCTCTCTCTCTCTCTCTCCTTCACCTCTTCTCTCTCCCTATCTCTTCTCTCTTTCTCTTGCTCTTTATTGCTTATTCTTTCTCTCTCTCTCCTTCTTCTCTTCCCCTCTCTCTCTCCTTCTCTTCCTCTCTCTTTCTCTTGCTCTTTATTGCTTATTCTCTCTCTCTCACTCTTTTTCTTTCTCTCTCTCTCTCTCTCTCTCTCTCTCTCTCTCTCTCTCTCTCTCTCCTTTTTCTCTTCCTGTCTCTCCCTATCTCTTCTGTCTCTGTTTCTCTTGCTCTTTATTACTTATTCTCTCTCTCTCTCTCTCTCTCTCTCTCTCTCTCTCTCTCTCTCTCTCTCTCCCTCTCTGTCTCTCTCCCCTCCTCAGGGCCCTCCCGGCTCGCAGTCCTCTCCTCATGCTCAGCCTCCTAACAGCATGATGGGACCTCACGGCCAGGTAGCGCTTCCCCAGCACACGTCTGCACACTCCTCCCCGCACACTCCATCCTCTCTGCTCACTCCCTTTGCACTCTTTTTGCTCTTCTCTCTCTCTCTGTATCTCTCCTGTCCACCTGTGATCTGAAAGCACTGTGAGCACAGTGGTAGAGCGGTCAGTCACTCTGCACTCTCTCACTACAGTTAAAGGGCCCATATCCTACAGTTTTCTCATAGGTTGTTTTTCTTTGTTCTGAAGGCCACTTAAAGTGTTTGTGTGGTTTTATGCCCCAAAAACATGCATAATTCATTTTACACAGCAGATCCTAAATTCCCTCCCTCAGTCCGGCTGCTTTTGCTGCTGTACCTTTTAAGACTAATATATTGTCTGTCAGATCTAAATGTTATAATGTTTCACTTTACTACACAGCTTCACTTTACATTGTGTAGAAACTTCATGATAAACGGAGCCACAGAACCTAAAAGTAACAGAACTTACATTAAAATTTAAGAACTGTTTTCCTTCTTCCATCTAGTTTTAATGTGTAAATGATCTCTGACCTTATTGACTGACGCCTTCATAGGTGCAATGAGGACAAACTGTTGTAATCTGAATGGCCAGGCGTATGTAAATAGGTTTGATGTTGTGACATCACAAGCATGATGAATTCAAAACAAGCTTAGTTTACGTATATAGACTGAAATGGACCGGGGGTGAACGGTCTGTCTTGAAACTTTTAACAACATTAATAACGGAAAAAAATAATTTTATTTATTTATTTATTTATTTATTTTCATGATATGGGCCCTTTAAGATGATATCAAGCATACAGTGCTTTCAGGAATCCGGACCCTGAATCTTATTTAGTAGAAGTAGAATGTCAGCATCCTTTTGGAGTTCATAATACAGTAAATAAATAAGTGTCCATGTTAAACTTGCCTGTTATTTATTGTAGCCTTTCATGTCACCGCGTTTCGGTGGAGGACCAAGACCCCCAATCAGAATGGGCAACCAGGTGAGGGCACTAAAACAGCTGTTTCTGCACTGCTGTATCTCTACACACAAACATCAAACTGCGGACAGGTTTATACTGACCGCTGCTGTTTGTGTTGCCTGTTTTGAAAATTGTGTTCATTTGCTTGTTGGATGTGAGCTGTGAGACAAATTACCCCTGAAAAAGGATTTGGTAATGATCAGAAATGCTGTGGGTTGCTGTTGTGGTCTTTGAAAAGGATTTTAATTTAAAGGGAAATTCCACCAGTTTTTCAAGATTTCTAGGTTTTTTAGTTGTTGGCGTGTAAAGAAAGTAATTCAGAATGGTTTGGTTTGAAATGGTTCGTTGTAGAGAATTTTATGTCAGATTTCAGATTTTTCAGACAAATAAAGCCATTTTATGTACAACAGGTAAACCTAGGTCTTCTGAGGTTTTTAGGTAACATGGTTATAATGTTAAAAATGATACAAATCTAAAAAAAAAATGTTTTCTTTCAGGACTATTTTGCCTCATAACACCCTGTCTGTACCTCTCTGTCATGAAGCATATAAAATGTGTGCATTTTAGGCCAGAACCTTTTCAAAACTATCGTAAAACAGTGTCTTAGGCAGTGACTTCATAACCATTTCATGTAATATCGTTCTGTAAGGGAGCTTTTAAAGGTATTAAACTCTTCAGACGTCTGGTTCCTGTCTACACCACTGTGATCAGTTGTGAGCATTTCACTTCAGACCACTCTGAATGACTGTTTGCGTCTTAATGGTTTAATTGTACAGGTATTTTGGAATAGAGGTGGAATTCCCCTTTTAGGCTCAAGTGAGATGTTGAAAGTTTTTCCTCTTCAAACATATTAATTGTTTCTCTTTGCCCGGCAGCCGCCAGGGGGCGTTCCTGCAGCACAGCCCATGCTCCCCAACATGGACCCCAGACTACAGGGTGAGTAATGCATTTCAGTCTCTCAACTGCTGCAAAACTCTCAACAGTTGCACATTTCAAACGAGTGCAGGCCTTTTTCTTTCTTCTTGCTTGTAGTTAGTAAGTAGGTATGACACTTAAGTACATTACCAGTTCAAAGAAAAACACATCGAGCCACGTTTCTTCTGATGCTTCTGTGAAACTCAGAATCACTTGGTGCTTTTTGATATTTCAGAGACTGAAATGGAGAAAAACAGAGAAAGCTGACATCACTTTGTGTGTGTTATCTACCTTTCCTTTAATGTTCACTCTTAGTGATGTTTATTCCTCTGTGCTTTTGAAGGGCCAATGCAGAGGATGAGTGTTCCTAGAGGGATGGGGCCGATGGGCCCTGGACCCCAGGTAAGACCACCAGCGTCCAAATTTGAATTTTATGTTGGATCTTTGCCCAGATCCAGTGTTTTAAAGTGGTATTCCACTGATTTTGTTCAAACACTGATTTAGACTCTGACTTCTTTAGTGGTGGTGATGGGAACCACCAACCATTGGTCTCTACAACACAAACATAGCCATTTTATTCACTGTCCTAAAACACGAGTAGACCTAGATGTCAACTGTCATCAGTTTTTAAATGTGATGGTCATGATGGTAAAACATCACACCCACATACATGCACACTAGTGAACACACACTAGGGGGCAGTGAGCACATTCGCCCAGAGCGGTGGGCAGCCCTATCCACAGTGCCCGGGGAGCAGTTGGGGGTTAGGTGTCTTGCTCAAGGGCACTTCAGTCATGTCCTGTCGGCTCGGGATCAAACCGGTGACCTTCCGGTCAAAAGGCTGGTTCCCTAACCTCCAGCCCATCTTCTCAAAACTTTTGTAAAACAGTGTCTCGGACATCAGGCAGTGAATTCATAACCGTTTCATGTAGTAACTTTCTGTGAGGGAGCTTTTAGAGGCGTCTTAAGATGTCTGGTTCCTATCACCTCCACTGTGAACGATTCTGAATGGCTTTGGACTGGCTAAGGGGTCAGTGGGAACTGGGTTGGAAATCACTGTTAAATGCAGACACAAATGAGGGAACGATGAATGTTCTGTCTTTATGTTGAGTGTAATATAAACTGGAATTGCAGAATTTCGGAGGAGGGATGAGACCCCCACACAATTCGATGGGTCCAGGCATGCCAGGAGTCGCTATGTAAGAGCAAATGCCCCCTACGTTTTTCTGCTTTTGACTCTAAAGTGAATGACTCTGATAATTACAGTTATTCTGATTTAGGTTTTCACATTGATATGGTTTTTGATTCTGAGGTTGAGATTCAGTTCAGTGATCATCATTTTCTGAGTTAAATGTGTTGATTCTAGAGCTTTAATTACACGATTATTACACAGATTGTTTCAAAACAAAAGATAAATGCAAAATATCATGTCATTGTGCCAAATAGTGATCTTATAAATCAGTGCAGCTGGGCTGTAAACAACACTGAACTGTCTCATAGAAAATGCATGTATTTAACTCTGTACACTGTGATAAATATTAATTAGTTTTATTATTTGTGCTGTTTAAAAAGGTAAATGATGTTACAGTTGAGAGAGTGAAATGTAATTTTTTTTTTTTCTTTTGTGTTTCCAGGGGTCCTGGGAACGGCAGGCCACCGTGGCCTAATCCCAACACTAACAACGTAAGTAAACTTGCTTTAAACCCAATTCAGTACTTTGAGATAAATTGTTTTAATGTAACTTAAAATGTGTAATACATAAAAATAATATAATATTACCAACAAAATATTTACGTTATTTAATGCTGAGTAAAAGCCTAAAATGTTTGTGTTCTCAGATGCCATATTCCTCACCCTCTCCTGGCGCCTATGGGGTAAGTACATCACATTCACCCTCACATAATACATCCGACTGAAGATGGAGATTAAACCGCATTGATTTTGGAAAGTTAATCCATTATTATGGATTATGAAATTCATCAATAAAGTATCAGCTCATGTTTTGGCCGTTTTCTCAGGCTGTTTGCTTTATTGCACTAATGTGTAAAAGGTAGTGCAGTTACATTTGTGTATTCATTGTGTTTTAAAAAGGAATCCTGAATCATACCGAAACAAATTGATACGCTTTGAGATTTCATTTTGCATTTGCTTGTTTCCTAAATAATCAAAATCAGATTGTTGTGAGGCCAGAAACGTACGGCCCAGCTAGAATTTCATTGGAAAATTTTAGCCTCTTTTGACATTGATTTCCCAAAAATGACAGAGTTGTGACAAATGGGTCAGTTATGACATTAAAGGTGGACATTCTGACTTGTTTCCCATAGGGACCGCAAGGAGGCGGACCCCCAGGCACTCCTGGAATCGTCCCAAGCCCTGCAGGTCTGTAACCCCAATAACTAACTCGATCATTTTTGTGAGTGATTGATTAAAGCCGACAAACAATGAAAGGCAACTGTTTTGTCTGTTACTTTCAGACTCCAACAACTCGAGTGAAAACCTGTACACCATGATGAACTCAGGAGGAGGCGGCCGAACTACTGTGAGCTCATTAAGCACTTTAATTAGCTGATTAATTGATTCAGGTGTGTCAGAGTGGGAAATTGTAATGGGCTTGAAAGGAGTAGTTAAATCATATTTGAGCTGAGGCTCTGTAATGCATATTTTTCAGGACTGTGAGAAGATTCAAACTTATTGGAAAGGGGTTCGTAAAACAATACCAAAAATATTTGATAAGGAATTCAATTTGTTGAAACTATATTTTGACACCATTAATGCAGATAATGTGCCAAAAAATGTATATTATTGTTATGGTCTAAGAGGTGCCCTTGGTGGAGGTGTGGCTCATACAGGTAGCAAAGTTAATTCCTTTCAAAATCTCTTATTTTCCTTTGTTCCTGTATGTGAATTCTGTGAGGATTGATTTGGTGAACAGTGATTGTTATTGTAACCCTGTAAAAGTCTAACAGAAATAAAAATTAAAAAAAAGAAAATTAAATTTGCAACATATGACTATATACGCAGTTTGCACGATGCACATTGGCCCGAAACATACTTCACGTAAGGATGCAAATGCAGGCGCTTCGAGCTACGCAGACGAGGTTTTGCGCATAGTTGCGTTGAAAATGTTGTCACGATGCATTTCATAATGCAAAGCAAGCACGAGTTGCAATCGGAGCGTTACAGCAGGGGGCGCTATAACGACAGCAAAGCCTGACTGAGCGGTCTTGTACCACCAGCGTGCTTCTCAACTGCCATAGCAGACGAGCAGTTGAGTCTCGCACAATGATATGATTAATTATCGCATTTCCAATTCAAGAGAAGAGGTAAAGCAGCTCACTCTCCTCTGTTGCCCAGGTTTAGCTGTTGAGGCTGTTGGAATAGCAGTACTCGCCGGACAGACGGTGAGTTTGTACAGAAGGACAGAGCGTTTGCAGTCCTTGCAGGCCTTAAGCTTCCATTACTTCTTAGCTACATTAGCCTCGTATCTCCAGCGCAAAACCAAAGAAGCAAACTTCAGACACTGAACATGTCTCGGTTTGTCTAATGGGCCACGTCTGGGGTACTTCGGTTGATCTACATACAAGTAGTACGCTGTGCTCTACTGCATTTACTGTTCTATTGTGTCGGACGCTTGGCCTTCACTGATGATAGCATGTGCCCTTCCTTCTCTCTTGTGTGTAGTTCCCCATAGGCCCAGGCTCAGAGGGCCCCCTAGGGGCCATGGCCGGAATGGACCCAATGCATATGAATGGAGGTAAGTCTTCAATACTTCATCGCTAAAATCTGAATAGTTTCTTATTATCTGTTTAAAAGGGTTGCAGTATGTCTTTCTCTTAATTTCCAGACAGCACAAAAGGAAACGTTTAATGCATGAAAAGCAATAGACACACTGTATTGTAGGGAAAAGGCATACGTGACCGCTGTCTTTTTGGCCTTTCTAGGTTCTGGAGACTTGGACGGACTTCCAAAGGTGATTATCTTTCTGACGTTCCGCTTGTTTAGAGCAGCTGTAAAATGACACTGATCGAAACCAAAACCTAAAACCTGTAGTGGCTGTTGTTTATCAATATTTGAGCTCTTGCTCTCACTGAAAAATGTCTTCGTTTGCACTTTGTCCAGAATTCCCCCAACAACATGAGCAACATGAGCAACAACATGGGCACCCCCAGAGATGACGATGCTGGAGGCAGCTACCTACACTCCTTCCAGAATGAGAATGTGAGTGCGCTCGCTTTTTCTTTGCTTTCCTTTATTTAGGGATAAACGTCTGATTTGATGAGCAGAACGTTTGGCTCCTTCAGCGGTGCTATTTCAGACGGCCTAACCAGCTACCAATCATGAACCAGGTAGTTTTAGATGGTCTAACCAGCTACCAGTTCGATTTTTAAGATGTAAACAGTCATTCAGAGTGGTTTGATGTGAAATAGTTCATTGTAAAGAAACATAACAACTCTGACTTCTTTATGCGATGATGGGAACCAGAGGTCAGGACGTCCACAGCACTAATACAGCCATTTTATTTATCTTAAACGTTCAGTGAACCTAAACGTGTCTTCTGAGGTTTTATATGTAATGTTGATGGTAAATCCAGCAGGAAAAAGTATTGTTTGGGTTCTATTCTTGCCTTGCCCGTGTCTCTCCACCGTGAATGCGTTAAAGCTTTACTGTACAACTATCATAAAACAGTGTCTCAGACATCAGGCAGTGAATTCATAACCATTTCATGTAGTAACTTTCTGTGAGGGAGCTTGTAGAGGCGTACATCTGGTTCCCATCACTAACAATTCTGACTCTGTTTTTCTAGAACAGAGCATCTCATACCAAACCACCTCTGTTTACATCTAAACTATTTGATTATGCAGAAATGTGGAAAAATCCAGAAGCAATATTATCATATTGTCCACCTCTATTCATGATGTCAGATGTATATCTGTATCGGCAGATAACTGATTGAAAAAAAGATTGACATTGAAGTGTTAAGATTTTATGTATTTCAACTTTTATGTATTTCAAACTGCAGAACTTTTATGTATTTCAACTTTTATGTATTTCAAACTGCAGAACTTTTATGTATTTCAACTTTTATGTATTTCAAACTGCAGAACGTTTAGGCACTGCTGGCTTACTGTGCTAAAGTCTGGTTTTTGTTTATTTTGCTGCATTTATAAATACATTACATTCCTCTGTATTTAGTCCCAAGTTCTTTGATTGTAAATGATTATGTATCAGAATCGATAGATATGTATTTGGGGAAATATTGGTTATTAATATCTGCCCAAAATTCCACATATCCTTAATCTCAAGCTGTGTGTGTGTGTGTGTGTGTGTGTGTGTGTGTGTGTGTGTGTGTGTGTGTGTGTTCTTGTATTGCTATATAATATGACTATATGAAATTTCTGCTCAAGTGAGGACATTTTGCTGGTCCTCACTTGAGCATGTGTTGTTTTGACCACAGTTACTTTTTTTATTTGAAAACTAAAAGAGCAGAATAATTGCCTTTTGGATACTGAGGTTGAGGTTAGGTTTAGGTTTGGGTGTATTATTTAGCTACAGTAGCACAAAAATCAATAGAAGTCTATGGATGTCCTCATGTATAGCAAGACAAACGCGCGTGTGTGTGTGTGTGTGTGTGTGTGTGTGTGTGTCTGTGTTTAAATCTGTGATTCATTTCTCTCTCTGTCTCTCCCTCCAGCAATACTCTCCCTCCATGACCATGAGCGTGTGAGATGTGGTTGTGTGCCCTGGGGAAACACTCACAGTTGGCCATCCATTACAGAGAGACACGGAGAAACATGTACAGGATCCTCGAGGCCGCGTGCAACTGCCTCTGCTTTCGCCAGTGGTCTCCTGCAATATCACTGATTTTTGATTATCACTTTTTCTTATAAACAAAACATCCGCTCCCGTCCCCCACCCCCCCTCTGAGATCAGACAGAAACCTGACACGAACCTCCTGGAACAGTTCTTTTTTCTCTCTCTCTTTTTTTTCCCTTTTCCCCTCCAAGGCCAACTTTGTAAAAGAAAGAGCTTATTATGGTTCTGACACGATCGCTGGATGTTGTAGACGCAAAAAATTTTAAAAAAAGGAAAAAAAAAACCAGAAGAAGCAGCATCGTTCACTTTTCTTCAGCCAGTCTGCCATCCTCAGCATGGTTTACGTGTTCCCGTAACGTCCTCACGATCCTTTCGACACTGAACTCTCATACGTGGCCTTGATCTCGCCGTGCGTTTTTATTGCCTTTTAGTCTTTTTTGTTCTTTTTTTTCCCAAGCAAAACACGTCAGATGATGAGAATAATATGGCCTTTCTGAAGAGGAAGGCTCACAGTTGTAGTTTAATTCTTTACACTCTGTTGTAGTTTTTATTATTATTATTATTATTGTTATTATTTTGTTTTTGTTTTTTTTGGGCAAGTATTATAAGCAGCTGCTTTCAAGAAATAACTGACTTTGAGCTCCCACACTGAGGAAGAAAGCAGTCCTTTGTTTTTTCCCTGCACTGATTCCATTTTCATTGCTCTTGAACTGCTGTCTCAAACCCTTTTCTCTGAAACTCTGAATAATTCATCGGTCCAATCAGAGCTGGACGAGAAGAACTACCTACGAGTGACGGACTCTGAGAAACCTCCAAACACTCGCCTCTTTGTCTCTCCCACTGATGTGTTTGGCCATTTGTAGCATCGATTACTTGTTATGCTGAATTTGTGATGGTATCCAGTTCCCATATCACCTTGTTTATTTTTCTGTTTTTTAATCACTACCATGTGCCTCAATTGTTTCATTTTGATAATGCTCTGATTTTATTGATAATGGTTTCCAAAAGGCCTGTCATTCAAAGTTGTAGCTTTCACCCCAAAGGAAGGAGCTGGTGTGAAACAGACCCAGTAGTGAGTGTTCAGATTTGCTTTGTGTTAGGCTTCGCTGGAGGGGCGCCAGACTCACTCATATTACAGGTAGAATCGTAAGTTATTCTATTTATACAGACCTTTGGTAATGGTTCTACATTTAGAAGTTGTTTTACACTGCTTTTGTTAGCTTGTACATCATACTTTGGGCAAAAATGCTTGTTTATATATTGACAACTAAATTATTTGGCTCCTTTCTGGCTGTTTCTGTGTCATTTTCATACATTTGTACGGGTAAATATTGTAAAGAAAGATGTCTGGTGTGCAGTAGGAGCTTCAGCTGAAGATTACAGAGTACAGAATTTTACCAAGTACCACTTTAATTCCTTCAAAGGTACTAGATACAGTGCAGTCTTTAATTTGGGTCGTCTCTGTTCTCTTGCACGTTGGCTTTGAACTGAAACTTTGCGAGAACTGATTTGAACAATGACTGTCAGTATAAGCGCAGTTCTTATTTCATGTTCTGTTAATCTGTACATTTCAGTCCCTCTAGGAACTTTCAATCACACTTTCCTGCTAATTTAACCAGTCTTCACTCTTAAAGATGGTTCTTCAAGGGTTCTTTTGTAAAGAAGGAGGTTCTATAAAGAACCATGAACACTCAAAGAACCCTTTGCATGATTTAAAGGGTTATTTGCAATGTGAAAGGTTCTTCAGATTGATGGAGAATGTGCTGTAGATGGTTCTATATAGAACCTTTTTGAAAAGGGTTCTATATAGCACCAAATGGGTTGTTCTCTTGTTACAAGCTTGACATCGTAACAATAGACGGACCCTTTTGGGTGCTGTATGGAACCCTTTCCAGAAAGGTTCTGTATAGAACCATATACAGTATATTCTGAAGAACACTTTAATGATGCAAAGAACCCTTTTAATCATGCAGAAGGTTCTTTGAGTGTTCATGGTTCTATTTTCTTTACTAAAGAACCCTTAATGAACCATCTTTTAAGAGTGTAGGGTTTGGTTGTGAAGTATAATGGTAGTAAGGTATACCACTGTATTATTAAAAAAAAAAAATAGATGGTGTTTCAAAATTTGACAGGTCAAATTTTTATTCCATGTCTGGACCGATAATAAACGCTTTTCCCCATTTTACATTTTGGAGGGGTCACTGGTTGGTGGTGTGGGAGCTCACTGATGGGTGGCGCTGATAGAAAAATCAGGGCCAGGAAAAAACTCAGAAAACTAAGCATGATAGCGGCTCAGTGACGGCTAAGAGCTCCACTCACCATAGAACTCGCTCGATTTCAGCTTTTCTCTCCAATAACAGTCACTCAACTCTGTGCTCTCAGATATCTTCTAAACAGGGGTCATTTTAGCTTCAGTTAGCTGGAACCGAGCCTGTGCTGTGGTGTGTGTGTGTGTGTGTGTGTGTGTGTGTGTGTGTGTGTGTGTGTGTGTGTGTGGGGTACGTCTGGCCTGATAACTAAGCTATCGTAGCTTAGCCAAAACAATACAGTCCCAAACACCACAGATCAGTTTCAGGTTTCTGTCACTCCCAACGCCAGCCACTCAACTTTTACTCTCTCAGACATTAGTTTTTATCACCTACACTGGTCAGTTTTATTATTTATTTTTTTTAATTGGAGAAATAAATAGAAATTGTGCTGAAAAACTGGCAGAAAATGTGTTCGCTGTAGAGAATGTGTTACCTTACTATCACTTAGAAAATCAACAACACAACAAAACATCTACATTCAAAACAAGTTGAAATTTCAGACTCAACTCTCCATATTTATGGCTGCAAATATGGAGAGAAGCTGGTTTGAGCACTTTTGCCTGCAACTGTCACAAAAAAGGCCACAAGATCCTGGTGGGACTGATATTTGATACACAGTATTAAAATTTTTTTAGGTGATCAAGTTTTTGGACAGTCTGCGCTTTAATCTCACAGTCATTGTTATTTTACATTCATTAACCGTATAGTTACTTAAATACTGTACAGTGGCTTTATGAGAATGATAAACTGATTCATTTTAATTGATCAACTCAAGAAAATTAATACTCCACACGAGTTTCTGAGACACACCTCTGACCCTGAAGATTTTCCTGTATTGCTGTCTGCTCTCACTCAGAATACACTGCAAACAGGCTGACTGTACAGTAGAGTTTGGGGCTCTGGTATGTGTAAGAGACGCATGTGTCAGAGTGGACGTCCCACAGGCAGCGACTGGCCAGCGTGACCCCCTCGTGGCCCGTCTTCTGTCCTAAAGCCACCATACACACGAGTTTATACCGCGCAGGGCAGACAGTGTGGACCAGCGTCCGAATCTCCTCACTAAACTCCTGGACCAGCTGGCTTGCTGAGGAAGGGTCATAGGTCACTCTGTCCAGACGAGTGTTCAGGAAATGCTGCAGCAGCTGGAACGCTCTGGAGTTCGGGAAGCGCTCACCAGGCTGGGAACAACCCACTGGCACCTGGATGAAAGGGGGGGAAACTGGAACTAATCTGGGGTCTTTCAGTGGTGAATCTCCCTTTTAGCATTGAAGTTTAGTCCATAATTTAGCTCAGAGTAGTTTAAGGGTTTTATCTCATGATAATTATAGATCTGGCTTGACTCTGACCGATGTTACTACTTGAAGATGCAAAATAAAAAATGGCCAAAATATTCTACAGCAGGTTATGTAATGATTAGGGGTGTGAAAGCGCATTAACTTTTAAGGGTTCAAAGAAAACTTAATGTACACAATTCCAGCCGTATTAATTAAATGGAAAAACATTAAGGCAAAAAACAGAAAGACTGTCCTTTAAAACTATACATTTTTGTAACACTTTATTTGGTGGTCCTTTGTGAATGATTAATAAACTCTTAACAGATGATCAGTAACACATTAACAACATATCAGTGAAGTATCAGTAGTGCAGCATCTGAATACACTGAAGTAAATATCTTGTAGATGTTCTGTTGATACATTACTGACATTAAGTAGATGTGTTGTTAATATGATACTTCCATTACACAAAACCTAACCTTACCAGCCTCAACCTAACACCTAACCCTCACCCTGGCCCTAATCCTAACCCTAAACTTAACCTCAAACCAAAACCTAATCTTAACCGTAACCTCAACCCAACACCTAACCCTCACCCTGGCCCTAATCCTAACCCTAAACTTAACCTCAAACCAAAACCTAATCTTAACCGTAACCTCAACCCAACACCTAACCCTCACCCTGGCCCTAATCCTAACCCTAATCTTAACCTCAACCCAAAACCTAATCTTAACCTTCACCCTCACCCTCACCCTGGCCCTAAACCTAACCCTAATCTTAACCTCAACCCAAAACCTAATCCTAACCTTAACCTCAACCCAACACCTAATCCTAACCCTCCTGTTTCATGAGTCAGTTGAGTGTTTCATCTAAAAAGGACTCCTCAAAATAAAGTGTCATTTAATTTTTTTATAGAATATAAAAATATAGATTTGTAAATATTTATTGAGCAGCTTTCTCAAATAAAGTAGTTTGAGTTGAAACGTTATGAAGTGAACAACATTGATTATCTCGTAAGAAGACACATGTCGAGGTCTTTGATATTAGACGGTAAGCAAACAGTCAGTTCTCGTACTTGGCGTGTTGGATGGGCAGCCGTGAAGACTGAGGAGACTCTGACAAGGGCCAGATTGTTATGGCCAGGCGACTGGGTCGAATCGTCTCTGAAACGGCAAGGCTTGTAGAGTTCTACTGGTCAGCAGTGGAAAATACTTACTGACAGTCAGCCGAAGAGGAACAAACCGATGACGGTGTTCGGTGCCCAGGGTTTATCGATATGTGAGGGCAGCGAAGCCTTTTCTGTCTGCACTGAACCGACGAAGGGGCCACACAAAAATGTTTAATGATGGTTACTGGAGGAATGTGTCACTACACACTCTGCGTATGGGGCTGTGTAGCTGCACACCTGTCAGAGCGCCCATACTCAGCCCTGTCCGCCATCTAAAGTGCCTACAATGGGCACGCAAGCATCAGAACTGGACCTTGGAGCGATGGAAAAACGTGAAGAGTCCACGGTGTTGCCCAGGTCTCCCAGATCACAATGCGATTCAGCATGTGTGGGATGGGCTGGAACAGTGAATCCAATCTGCGGTGGCTCCACCTCATTACTTACAGGATCTGCTGATAGTGTCTTGGTGCCGGACACCACAGAACACTATAAGAGGTGTTGTAGAGTCCTGACCACAGCAGGTTGGAGCTATTTTGGTGGCATGCAGAGGACCAACAGCATATTATGTTCATAATGTTTTGGCTCATTGGTGTTACGCTAAGGTAGAGCATGGCCTGCCCTCTCTGAAGAACTGAGACACGGCCCTCTATCACCTAGGAAACTGGAGACTTGGACTCTCGTTCTTCTGGGTTTTGGACTCCCATTGACCGCTGAGGAAAGCTCAGCCTTTAGAAATATGTACCCTCATTTCCAGATGTTTGGAGTTCCATAACTCGGTGAAGGAAAGATGAATCTGAAAGCTTTACTAGATGACCAGTATGTTGCTTAAAGGAAGTTTTGTCACATTTTTGTAAGTGTATAATGGAATTTGAACTGTGCACTAAACAGGAAAATAAAAGCTAATTGGCTTCATTGCGCTATTCTTTACACTATAAATGACTTTCAGGAAAAATGAAAGATATTACACAAATTTTACGAGAGTATGGTGAGCCCTGTCAGCAAAGCAAATGCACAGAATAATTAAATGTCAGTCCAATTAGGTCTACAGCTGAACCAACTGGACTGGAACTGGTCTTGACCTTGATTTACAAGCAGTTGAGGACTTGATTATTTGGTGTAGGTCTGAACGTTACCTGTTCGTGGATGATGGTCACAGGTTTTCTCATGGAAGATAAGACTCCTCTTTTTGCGGCAAGTTTTGCAGCAGCTCGTTCCTGCAGTGGCGAAGAAAACGAGACTTTTCACCAAACTGTTTCAGCGAACCAGAACCAGAGGTGAGTCATAAATATCATACTCTGAGTCATTAGTAGCATGTCCTCGTGCTAAATAATGATGTCCATTCCCTCGTAGCTCTACCCTGCTGCTGTACAGGTAGAGTAGGCATGTGTTTCTAATAAAGTGGCCATTGAGTGGAAGTACAAAGTAGGGGTTTCTAATAAAGTGGCCAGTGAGTGGAAGTACAAAGTAGGGGTTTCTAATAAAGTGGCAAGTGAGTGGAAGTACAAGGTAGGGGTTTCTAATAAAGTGGCCAGTGAGTGGAAGTACAAGGTAGGTGTTTCCAATAAAGTGGCCAGTGAGTGGAAGTACAAGGTAGGTGTTTGTAATAAATTGACCAGTGAGTGGAAGTACATGGTAGGGGTTTCCAATAAAGTGACCAGTTAGTGGAAGTAAAAGGTAGGTGTTTGTAATAAATTGACCAGTGAGTGGAAGTACGTGGTAGGGGTTTCCAATAAAGTGGCCAGTGAGTGGAAGTACACGGTAGGGGTTTCTAATAAATTGACCAGTGAGTGGAAGTACATGGAAGGTGTTTCTAATAAAGTGGCCAGTGAGTGGAAGTACAACGTAGGGATTTCTAATAAAGTGGCCAGTGAGTGGAAGTACGTGGTAGGGGTTTCCAATAAAGCGGCCAGTGAGTGGAAGTACACGGTAGGGGTTTCTAATAAAGTGGACGGGCTGTGTATAGTTCAGGGTGAAACTCTCCATCAGAATTCTACTTTATCCACAGACTTTGTTTCCTAAACAGGTCTTTATTTCGTATGTAGTATAAAATCCACGGTTTCTACATGGTCTCACCTTCAGTCCTTTAGAGAACATCTGAGCGGTCACTAGGCCTTTCAGGCTGATGTAGGTCCGGTCCAGAGTCTGACTGGGCCTTTGGATTGGCCGTGAGAGCCTGCGCCCAGTTACAGAAGCTGCCCAGCTGACCTGAGAGCCAAACACAGGCTTAAGCCTAATCTTGGACTAAATTATCCTTTTCATATAAGGGGGATCAGTTGTGAAAATCCATTTTAACGCTCCTTCACAGCTCAGCTAATGAAGGTTGAGTGTCAAAAAGTGCAAAGAGACAAAGGTAAACGAGACCTCTGGTAAACCCAAAGTGGTATTCTATACACTTACAAAAAAGATGGTTCTTCAAGGGTTCTAAAGGGATCTTCAGATTGATGTAGAATGTGCTATAGATGGTCCTTTATAAAACCTTTTTGAAAATGGTTCTCAATAGCACCAAAAAGAGTTCTTAAGTTGTGACAAACTTGATGTTGTAACAGTAGAAGAACCTTTTTTGGTGCTATATAGAAAAAAAAACTATATAGAACCACATACAACACATTCTCCATCAATCTGAAGAAGTGTCCATAGTTCTACATTTTCTTTAATAAAGAACCCTTAAAGAACCTTCTGTTTTAAGGGGTTAGAGTATAAAATAACATACAACCCCATTTTCGGAAAAGTTGTGTAAAATGCAGTATTAACAAGAATCTGTGGTGAGTTCATCCTCTCGAACCTTCTTTCCAGCGTTTTCACTGACCAGTTTAATTGGATTTTGCAAATATTTGTGGCGGCTGATAAACTCACCTGTTACCAGTTCACCTGCTTATTGTGGAATGTTTCAAAATGGTGTAACTTGAATGTTCTATAAACTTTTCACTCTAATTTTGCACCGTCCCATTTTTTTTTTTTTGAGTGTTGTAGGCACCATATTAAAAATCTGCTATATTAAAAATATGATCTAACTGGTCAGCCAAAATATTAAAAGTGATTTCTTTGTACTTTTGTCAGGTTCATTTAAATAAACGTTCAAGAGAATTAACTATTCACAGATTCTTGTTATTGCATTTTACAAAATGTCCCAATTTTTCCAGAAATGAGGTTTGATAGTTACACTTTATACAGTTTCTTAAAAAATGATGAATTACGGAATGCATGTTCATATGAAAAGCATTAGTAAGCAGCATTTTGTACTCTTGCAGTCACCTCTTTTATTTGCTGGTTGCCCCCATCTTGTTCTTTCTCAAAGGTCTTCATGCTGCCTTTCTGCTCCATCTTTCTTCCTCAGCACTTTTCCACACAGTCAGCCTTAGTGAGGTTTTTGGATAAGATCAAGTGCAGCAGATGCATGTAAGGTTGCTACATGTAAGGTTGTCTAACTGCAGTGTTTGGTACATGTTTATCATTTAAAGAAAAAAAAACATTTTCTATTGCTGGAGAACCACAGTCTTGTTTTTTTTCTCTAACACAACTGATACAAAATAAGAGAACAATACATTGTGCAGTGCTAGAGCTAAAAGCCACTTTAGCCAATTTTTCATTAGAACGCACAGGAGTTATTTTAATATTTGTACAAGTTTATACAGTGACTGTTCTTTTTCTAGAGCAGTGGTTCTCACCTCTGGTCCTTAAGGCCCACTGTCCTGCACTGTTTAGTGTTTTCCCTGCTCACAACACACCTGATGCAACTAATCAGCTCATTATCAGCCTATTATTGAGTTAAAGTGGGAGTGTTAAAGCAGGAAAAGCACTAAAATGTGCAGGGCTGTGGGCCTCCAGGACCAGGGCTGAGAAACACTGTCCTAAAGAATACAGTAGGTAAACCAAATGCACTACGAAGCTAAAGTTGGTTTCTTATTTGAAGCTCAGATATTACTTATTCCCCAATTACAAACAAACACAGCACTGCTGATTGCATTTGTAAGAGCATTAGTAGAGTCTTACCTATGGAGCTGGGTCTGTAGCTGTCAGCTAGTGCTACTTCTACTAATAACCATCTCTTCATGGTCTGGAACACAAGGTTCCTGTTGCTCTTTCCACAGCAACCTTCCCTGCTGCACTCCTATAAATGATATTTGTGAGGTACAGTTCACTCCTCCAAACTGCCCAACATGTTCCTACCTGCCTCACAATCACATCCGACTCCAGAGAAGGTTCATTGTCGCTGTTCAAATGGCTCAGCTTGGCAGAGAACAAAGTTATTAAATGTTTATTAGTCAGCCAAGTCATTCAGAGTGATCAGAGCTTGGAACCCCCTCTGCTTTGAGTCAGCTCTTCAGTGTTATCATAAGTAGGCCACTCACTCAATCTCCTGGCTCTCTCCTGAATAGATGGCATTCTTGTAGCTCAAACTGCATTCTGACAGCAAACACTGACTTAGTGCTCGTTTACAGCAGTTGAAAAAGTACAGAGAAATTAATACTGATTTCTGCATAACTCAGTGTGTGAGATGTAAACAGAGTGGTTTGGTGTGAAATGGTTCAGAGGTCTTTACAGTGGTGGTGATAGGAACCAGGGGTCGCCATGACTACAACACAAATATAGACATTTTATTTACTATCCAAAACCACCAGTGAACCTACAGGAGTCTTCTGAGTTAATATGGAATGTTGATGATGGTAAAATTGTGGGAAATCTGAAAAAAAAAAGTTTTTTGGGGGACTATTTTGCCTCACACATTCCTGCATGTATCCCTCCACCCTGTGCTTTGAAAGAAATAAAACATACATTTCAGACCAAAGCCGTGTAAAACTATCGTAAAACAGTGTCTCAGGCAAAAGGCAGGGTGTATATAACCATTTCATTTAATAACTTTCTGTGAGGGAGCTTTTAGAGGTGGACGTCTGGTTCCTATCACCACCACTGTGAATAATTCAGACTCTGTAAGTTTCTCTAGAACAGAGCGTTTCACACCAAACCACTCTGAATGACTCTGTTCACATCTTAAACATTTAATTATGCAAAAAGTTTGAAAAGGTTTCCCTTACTGCTCACCTGCTTGTTATTTTTTAGTAATAACAAGCAGGTATGGTCCTATAGATATGAATTTGCATAGTTGCAGGCAAGTTCATTTTATGTTAATAAAACTGGATGGTTTAATAAAAACTGCAAATAAAATGTGCAGAAACTTGGTTTGGTGAAAACAAAACAAAGCAAAACATCCCACTGCTTTTCATATTTGAAAAGATGATTTTGAAGGTCTAAATGAAACATCAAAAGTATGCTTTTTTTCTTGGAAATGTAATTATGAGTATAAATATTCAATTTCAGTAATACTAAAGTAAAGACCTGTACTTAAAGGTGCAGTGTGCAAGATTTAGTGGCTTCTAGCGATGGGGCTGCAGATTGCAACCAAGTGAATACTCCTCCCATTCCGAGTGTGTAGTCGAACTTAAGCCGTAGCTGTACGTTTTTTGCTTCTTTGATGACAAGGATTCACCCCCCCCCCTGCTTTTTCTTGTGCTAAATAATAAGTATGATCCTCCATTTGTCAAAATTTGGGTTCTCAAACGTCTCACAACACAAAATGGTCAGCCAGCACCGGCCACAACCACTGATTCTTCTCTTTCTACTCTGTTAGTAATAAAGGTTCTGTGCAGGAACATTTTTCATCTGTCAAGGTACAAACAGTGTAAATGTTCCCAACAGTGCAACAGTGGTTTTAAGGTCCAATGTTGAACCGTAAATAAGTTTATTCAGGTGAAAAGTTCGTATTTGTACCTTTTCATGACGGAATGTTTTAAAACAGAACAGTAAAATAAAAAGCCTGGAGACGAGACGGGGTGTGTGGAGTGGAATACAACTCCAATGGATTATGGTTCAGTTTTGTTCCCTGACTAAAAGTACTGAAATGTACCCTTGAGGGTCCCACCCCAGTGACAAGAGGGGCACTGCCCCAGTGAGTTTAGTACCTTTATTTCTGAGAGTGTACGTCTTCCAACCAGTACCGTAGGGCCACCAAATTTAAGCTGCTGCTTCAAAGGCAGTGTTTGATTTGTCCATTCGGGGTTATTGTAGAAACATTACGGCCTCTGTTCGAATAGGACCCGCTCCCTATATAGATATTATAGGCTCATTCTAAGGTAACAAAAACGATTCTTGTTTTTTTTCTATTAATTTTAGCCTGTTTGACCCTAAGCTGCACTACAGTGCCCAGCATGCAATGCAACATAATGTGTGCTCTGACCCCCTTCCACCAACATCCTTCTAGGGCCAGTGGTTACTTTTAAAAAGGTTTTATAGTGATCTGTAGCTAATGTAGTCTATTGTTTGATATAAAACAATTTATTTTTATTGTAAATAATTTTTGAATTCAGTGCCTATTTTGCTGTTGTAGTTTTAGCATATATTGAATAAACAATGGCCAGTTGGGGTCACGGCAAAACGTTAAGAAAAAAGAATAACACAGCTGGCCCACGGACTTGAGATTTTTTAATATGGCCCTTGTAATGGTTGAGTTTGACACCCCTGCCCTAAATCTTACACACAGCACCCTTAATACTGAAGTACAGATCCTCCAGAATATCATAGTACAGTATAGGAAAAATTACAGTCCCTGAAATCTTCTTCACCAGTGCTCGTCTGTTTTTTAGAGTAAAACCTAAAACTTCCATGTACTGTAAAAATGATGACACACAAAATCCACATCAAAATTTTGAATGCTTTATTCAGAATAAGATATCAAGACTTCTGTGTCTCATCTGTGCTACGCTGATCTTGTACACAACCATCTACATAAACATCAGTTTTACAGCTGCCACAGGTTTCCACTGTAAACTTCATATACAGTAGAAGGCTGAGTTTTACAAGACGACAGAAGCACAGACAGCCACTGCTGTCTTTACTGCACGATTACTGCAGAGAAAAGTGGTGCGAAATACTATTTAATGCAGAAATAAACGTCCATATATCAAAATGTGATTCAGATAAGGAGGGTATAAATTCTATAAAAATATAACAACATGTTTCCAAGTATAGAGATTGCATAAATAAATGTTCCTTGATAACAAACCAATAACCACAAATTGACTACAGTTTATGATTTGACGTGATCAACACTGTAATAAACTATTATTGCTGTTTACTAACCTGTTTTCCTTTTGAGCTCATATACTTTTATCTCATGCGGCTTTGGGACACAAGGTACACAGACATCTATAAACATACAAATTAAGGCCACAGGTGAATACTGTCCACTCTAAGTCCTTTACCTCGTCATTTAATGATTGGCTCAGGCTAATAAAACTGTATGTTGTGAAAGAATCCCTCTAAGGTCACTCTGGCTGTTCATACGTACCACAGTCAACTCCTCCATCTGTGAATATCAGTTTTGATCAAAGAAAGATGCTGAATGTCATTCAATCATTTAGGGTTTGTGTATTTCCTTATCAGACTACAGAGCCCTAATGGTTTTATCTGCAATCATCACAAACAAACACAACTACAAAATGAGCCAAAACATTACAGCACATTCTTAGTGGTGATAATACTTGAGAAGTAAGTGAAGTGAGCAAATATACAACCATAACCAGCTGTTGCTATTTATCAGAGCATGGATTAATGTAATAATTGTAATCATGTGACAGAAATAGCATCCGAATCTCAGAACTGCTGGATAGTTATCTGTAAAAACTGCTTGAATTAAATGAATCTTAATGTAGTGTGACTGGCATATTTTAAGAACCAGTTAAATCTGCTGAAACATATCGCTGCTGTTGGAACAAAACCTCTTATCTCCATTTTTGTTGTTTTTCAGTTTTTGACATGATTTGAAAATACCTTTTGCTCTATACATTGCATGTAAATTTCATGACTTGGAAAAAGTCTGGTTCCATTGACTTACACTAAAAATCAAGTATGTTTTTTCCTTCTCCTGTAAAAGTTACCATTTCTGAGATATGAAGTTTTATTCCGACAACAGCAATAATAAAAGAAAAAGAAAAAAAAAAAAAGAGAGCAGCAAAGCCAAGATAGCTCTCTCTCATCTACTCATATCTCACATCCTAGTTCATCTTCTGCAGCACCTTCCGTACTTCCTCTGGACTGTAGCCCCAAGGACCCTTGCCTCCCTGGACAGTAGAGAGAAATTAACAGAGTCTGAGAAACTGGAGACTTTCCCGGCGTCTCCATATAGGCATAATGTTCTTACATTAAACACTAAACAGCATATTATTTCAATATGTACTACACAGTCGAGTCACATTATTATGACCACCAGCTAATATCCAGAGTGACCGCCGTGTGCAGCACGGACAGCAGCCAGACAGGCTGGGAGTGACTCAATAAGGTCCTGGTAGGTTGTCACAGGTATGTGGAGCCATGCTGACTGCAGTGCATCCCACAGCTGCTGGAGGAAGCGTGGGGGAGGATCCATAGAGCGAACACGACGATCGGGGTGGTCCCACAGATGCTCAGTTGGGTTCAAGTGTGGGGAATTGGGGGGCCAGGGTAGTACTCGGAAGTCATGGTCATGCTCTTCCAACCAATGTCGGACATTTCTAGCCGTGTGACACGTCACGTTGTCTTGCTGGAAGATCCCTTCTGCCCCAGGGAAGACAATCAGCATGTATGGGTGTACGTGATCTGCAAGGATGGATTCACACCCAAATCAGTCGAGAGTGCCTTCCACATGGATGAGTGGGCCCAGAGAACGCCACAAAAACATTCTCCAGACCATAACGCTGCCACCACCAGCTCGTAGACATGAAGTGGTCGTAATAATGTGACTCGACTGTGTATATTCTCACATTACACACTATGTACTATATTCTTACATTATTCATTATATTACCCTATAAACAAAACAGCATTATGTTCCGACAGAAAACAGTTTACTTCTGGCTGGATAACTCGGGTACAAGAGAATTTTATGCTAATTCAGAGACTTATTTAACAATATATTGTCTTCTGTTGGTATTTATTGTAAATTGTGCCATAAATTGAGCTGCTTACATGCTGACTGGACATCCAGCCAGAAGTATAGCCAAACATTCTGATTTGGTCTACTATATATTTTTATTTTAAACACTAAATAATATATTCTACACTGTACATTGCATATGATTTTCCTACATTAAGCACTAAACAGTATATTCTTACATTATACACTATCTAATAACATTCTTACATTATACACTATGTACCATATTTTTACACTGTACACTATATACTACAATCTTACATTATATGCTGCATACTATATTCTTACACTATACACTATGTATTGCAGCCTTGCACTATGCACTGTATTCTTATAACATACACTACATACTAAAATCTTTCATTGGATTATTCTTATACTATACTTTTCACTATCAAGTGCTTGGATTTTTGTGGAGTTGTGTAGAGCCAAATGCTAATGTTTTGCACTAAATGGAAATTACCATGCGGGACCTCACGTGACTGAATCGCCCCTGAATAGCCTCCATACTGACAACATCTGATTAAAAATGTTGTAACGTTTTTGCCCATTTATGTTGGCTATTTTGAATATATCAAACTGCAACTTCCTCCAATGGCTCCTCTTCTTCCACCAACGATGCCAACCTGCAGCTGCTTAATGCAAACAATATGTAACACAACAAGTTTTTCTCCTTCTAGTATATTGTTTGGGTACTAAACTAAAAGTACAGACGTACTCGATTTGAAACACAGATTTTATCTAATGTTTGACAGCTTGTACAGTCAACAAGCCCACAATGACAAAAGGCCTGTTGAGTCTGCCTTTGACCCACTTTTTCTGTCATGCTTCTTGTCCCAGACACAAAAGCCTACGTCCACGTGAGGAACTCTGAATTACAGATACACGGATAGATGGACAGACAGATTGGCAGACAGTGACTTCACAGTTTACACCTGTGCAAAATTAAAAAGGTGAGTGAAACTCTTATTGTTGCAATAACACTAAGCATAAATACCTCTAAAACATATATATATATATGAATGATACACAACCCCATTCCCAAAAAAGTTGGGATGCTGTGCAATATGTAAATAAAAAAAATGCAATGATGTGCAAATTATTAACCCTATAGTTCATTGAAAATAGTACAAAGACAACAAATCAAATGTTGAAACTGAGATAAATATATGCCCATTTTGAATTTGATGCCAACAGCATGTTCCAACAAAAGGCTGGTAAAGTTGTGTAATGCTAGAAAAAAAACATCTGGGGGTTAACTGGCAACAGGTCAGTAACGTGATTGGGTATAAAAAGAGCATCTCAGAGAGGCGGAGTCTTTCAGAAGTAAAGATGAGGAGGGGTTCACCACTCTGTGAAAGACTGCACAATAAAATAGTGCAATAATTCAAGAATAATGTTTCTCAACATAAAACAGCAAAGAACTTTTGCTTTTCATCATCTACACTACATAATATCATTAAAAGATTCAGAGAATCTGGAGGAATCTCTGTATGCAAGGGATGAGGCTAAAAACCAGTATTTCCTGGCCGTGATCTTTGGTCCCTCAGGTGGCACTGCAATAAAAACAGACATGATTCTGTAGAGGAAATCACTGCATGGGCTCAGAAACACTTCTGAAAACCACTGTCTGTGAAAACAGTTCGTCGCTGTATCCACAAATGCAAGTTAAAACTCTTAGATGCAAAGAAAAAACCATATATAAACAGGGTCCAGAAATGCTGCCACCTTCCCTTATTTAAAATGGACTGAGGTGAAGTGGAAAAGTGTTCTGCGGTCTGACAAATCAACATTTGAATTTTTTTTTGGAAATCATGGACACTGTGTCCTTCAGGCTAAAGAACAATCAGCTTGTTATCAGTGCACAGTTCAAAAGCCAGTATTCATGATGGTATAGGGGGGCATTAGTGCACATGGCATGGGAGACGTGCACATCTGTGAAGGCACCATTAATGCTGAATGATATATACGTTTTGGCAACATATGCTGCCATCCAGACAACGTCTTTTTCAGGGAAGGCCTTGATTATTTCAGCAAGACAATGCCAAACCACATTCTGCCTGTATTACAGCAGCATTGCTCCATAATAAGAGTCCGGGTGCTAAACTGACCTGCCTGCAGTCCAGACCTGTCACTCACTGAAAACATGGCGCATTCAACATTTGACATTTGATTTGTTGTCTTTGTACTATTTTCAATTAAATACTGGTTTTTGGCCTTGTCCCTTGCATATAGAGATTTTTCTCAACTTCAACGTTTGATATGTTGTCTTTGTACTATTTTAAATGAAATGTGGGGTTTAAATGATTTGCACATCATTGCATTTTGTTTTTATTTACATTTTGCACAGCGTCCCAACTTTTTTGGAAATTGTTTTATATATATATACATATATATACATATACATATACATACATATATATATATATATATATATATATATATATATATATATATATATATATATATATATAAAACATAGTTCCCCAACTGAAATGGAAGTACATATAATCAGTGTGAAAGCCTGTAAATCTGTATCTTTTGTATTTGTGCACTGGAGTTAGAGGAGGTGTGTGATAAAGTACACAGTGTTCCAGCCGAGGGCAAAGTTTAACCAGTGCCAGTATTACCTTCAGCCACCATCTGAGCCTTAACTCCACTGCTACCACAAAAAGCCAACAGCAGTTTCATTCAGAATGTAGAAGTAACTGGACGGATTTCGGCTCCAATTTGAGAAGTGCTCACCTTGTAGATGACCTTTCCCCCCTGAAGAACGTACAGTCGCTCAGGCAGAGCTCCGTAGCGGCTGGCTGTGACGTCACTCATCTCGTCCACTACCACAGGACACAGCGGGTTTTCTTTAATCAGGGACTTTGCTGCGGTCAGTCTCTCCTGCAGGCTCCTGTGCTGGTTGATGTCCACATTGTTGGCAAAGGCCCAGCCGTCTATGGAAAGATCAGTCAGTATCTAAAGGTGTAAATCTCTAAACTCACAGAAATTCAATTAGATTACAATTCTATTCCACCACAGTTTGGTTTGGCACACTTCAGAATTTTTTAACAAACACACTGAAAACATAAATGTGGCTGGAGAAACTATTTACACAGTCGTGAAATGTAGATGATAAAAATAATACACCAAGCTTTTTTATTGTGTTTGCAAAATTGAATTAGCTTAAATTAGTGCATACGTTATTGAACATTATTGTAATCTATCAGAATTGACATTAAGCCTAAATAGGCCCAAAAAGGCCAAACTAGGTAGGGTTTTTACATCAAACTCTACAAAGTGATAATTCTAAAAATAGCAATCAACACATCAACACACTGCCCTGTTCTGGTGCACTTGTGGGTCATATAATCGTGTTTAGCATCTCCATCTGGAAGAGTGAATGATTCACTAAACTGTCGTTAGCTACAGCTACAAGTTTTACCATAGAAAGAGGATCCCTCAGTGGGATTATTACTACTTATAGCAGCTCTATCTGCTTTTGAGAGCTGGAAAACAGAAGAAATGCAAGTAAAATCCACTGCAAACTTGGGCACATTTGACACGACATCCTCAAACACAAGATTTTACCGTTAATCCTAATGTTTTGTCTTCTCTTATGTTGGTATTTACACAATACATTACATATAACATTCTTGCATTAAACAATAAATAGTATATTCCTACATTATGTACTATGTTCTAATATTCATACATTATATTCTATGTACTACATTCTTACAGTGCTGTGAAAAAGTATTTGCCCTCACCTGATTTCTTCTATTTTTGCTATTTAGTCACATTTAAATGTTTCAGATCATCCAACTAATTTTAATGAGATAAGTAAGTGATAAGTGATAAGTAATTGAGTAAACACAAAACGCAGCTTTTAAATGATCATTCCATTTATTGAAGATTCATTCAAAACCTGCAGCACCTATGTGAAAAAGTATTTGCACCCCTAAAAGTAATAAATGGTTGTGCCGCCCTCGGCAGAAACGACTGCAATCAAACGTTTGCAAAAACATGCGATGAGTCTTTTACGTTGCTGTGGAGGAATTCTGGCGCACTCCTCTTTGCAGAGTTATTCTAATTCGGCTATGTTGGACGGTTTTCAAGCATGAACTATCAATTTAAGGCTAAAACTAAGCCAAAAAGGTAGTGTTTTTTTATAGATTTAGGGGGGAATCAGTGCTAACCCTGTTTAAATGGGTCACTGGTGGTGATCAATGAGTGAAAATCGCAGAAACAAATTTGTGAATTTGATGAGGCAGAACCCAACAACTGCTAGACTCATATTTCCTAGGCATGAATGAAGCCAAGCCTAGACTACAGTGCAATATCAAGAGACTGACTATTGAAAATTGTCAGTATAGACTAGTGGTCACCCACACAGCTCCTGGAGATGTGCCTTCCTGAAGCGTTCACTTCCAACCCTGACTGAACACTGGATCTGGCATGTTAGAAGGCAGATCTCCAGGAGCAGGATTAGTGACCACTAGTCCAGCTTAATCATGCACTAGGAACCTAACCTTGACCAACATCTGACTGTTATTGATTAACTTTCTGTCCTGGACTACAAACTGAGGTCTCTAAACCTGCGAGGTTTACCTGTGGCGTGCGCTTCAGCGATGTAGATCACGAGGAAATCGGCCACATCACCAAAGTCCCTGACAAGCTGCTTGAACTCGTCAAGTTTGAAAAGAAACGGTGGTCAGGTGCAGCTTCCGAAGCTCAGGACGAGTGGACGATTACCTTCAGAATCAAGGCCAGAGCGTAAATGATGTGAAGAGTCAGTGAATGAGTGAAGGAATAAGTGCATGAGGAAATGAATGAGAGAGCAAATGCGGGAGAACAGGAACAAATGAGTGAGGAGGTAGTGAATGAATGAATGAGTGAGGAAAAAGACTGAGTGAAAGGGTTGAAGAGGGAATTAAGGGAACAAGCCAATGAAAAAGTGAGGGAAGGAGTGAGGGAGTTAGTGGGTGATTTGAATAATGATGTAAATGGATGAGTGAGAAAGGCAATAAGTGAGTGAAAGAAGCAAAGAACAGAGTTAATGAGTGAGTGAGTGACTGAGTGAGTGAAGCGAAGGTGTGAGGTAATGACAGAGTGAATCAGTGAAGAAGATGGATGAACGAGGTGCAGGAGGGAGTCAGTGAGGAAGAAAGGAAGTGAACAATTGAGGGAAGGAGGGAGCGAGAAAATAAAGCAAACAAGGCAGATAATGACGAGCATGCAAACGAAAAAGTGAGGGAAAGAGTGAATGAGTGAGGGAGTTAGGTGAAGAATAACTGAGTGAATGGATGAGTGGTGAAAAAGGAATAAATGAGTGACAGAAGCAAACGAGAGGTTTAATGAGTAAGCAAGGGAGTAAATGAGTGAAGGTAGAAGAGAGAGAGGGAGTGAATAAGTTCAAATAAAATATGAATTAACTAAACGTAAGGGGCATCATGCACACTTAAGAAAGATGGTTGCATGATTAATGGATTCTGAGCATCATGAAAGGGTTCTTCTATTGTTACAGGCTTGACATTATAACAAAAGAAGACCCCTTTTTGGTGCTACATAGAACCCTTTTCAAAAAGGTTCTAAATATAACCCCATTTCCAAAAAAGTTGGGACGCTGTGCAAAATGTGAATAAAAACAAAATGCAATCATGTGCAAATCATTTAAACCCCACATTTCTTTGAAAATAGTACAAAGACAACATATCAAATGTTGAAGTTGAGAAAAATCTCTGTATGCAAGGGACAAGGCCAAAAACCAGTATTTGCTGGCTGTGATCTTTGGGCCCTCAGGCATCACTGCATTAAAAATAGACATGATTCTGTAGTGGAAATCACTGCATGGGCTCAGAAGCACTTCTGAAAACCAGTGTCTTCTGAAAAACAGTTTGTCGCTCCATCCACAAATGCTCATTAAAACTCTAAAACGCAAAAAAGAAACCAAACATAAACAAGACCTAAAAACGCTGCCACCTTCTCTGGGCCCGAGCTCATTTAAAATGGACTGAGGGAAGTGGAAAAGTGTTCTGTGTTCTGACGGATCAACATTTGAAATTCTTTTTGAAAATCATGGACACTGTGTCCTACAGGCTAAAGACCCCTCAGCTTGTTATCAGTGCACAGTTTAAAAGCCAGTATTCATGATGGTATAGGGGTGCATTAGTGCACATGGCATGGGTGACGTGCACATCTGTGAAGGCAGCATTAATGCTGAATGATATATACAGGTTTTGGCAACATATGCTGCCATCCAGACGACGTCTTTTTCAGGGAAGGCCTTGATTATTTCAGCAAGACAATGTAAAACCACATTCTGCATGTATTACAGCAGCATGGCTCTGTATTAAAAGAGTCCAGACGCTAAACTGGCCTGCCGGCAATCCAGATCTGTCACCACTGAAAACAATTGGCACATTATGAAATGAAAAATACTACAAAAGAGACCCAGAACTGATGAACAGCTGAAATCCTGTATCAAACATGAACGGGAAAACATTTCACTTTCAGAACTACAGCAGTGTCTCCTCAGTTCCCAAACACTTACAGAGTGTTGGTAAAAGAAGAGGTGATGAAACACAGTGGTAAACAGGCCCCCGTCCCAACTTTTTTGGAATGTGTTGTTGGTGTTAAATTCAAAATGGGCACATATTTTTTAAAAAACAATAACATTTCTCTGTTTCAACATTTGATATGTTGTCTTTGTAGTATTTTCCTTTAAAAATCTGGTTTACATTATTTGCACATCATTGCATTCTGTTTTTATTTACATTCTGCACAGCGTCCCAACATTTTTGGAAATGGGGTTATAGAACCAACCACAGCACATTCTCCATCAATCTGAAGAACCAAAACAAAGAACCCTTTAATCATGCAAAGGGTTCTTTGAGTGTTCATGGTTCTATATAGAATCATTTTCTTCAGTAAAGAACCCTTGAAGAACCATGCTTTTTTGGGTGGATCTAAAACAGACCTGAATATATTGCTATAAGCAGCTATAACTATCCAAGCATTAAATGTCCAAGAGAAACAGCCATGTACACCTGTACACTTTAAAAAAAGATGATTCTTCAAGGGTTCTTTAGTAAATGCAATGAGTCTATCTAGAACCATGAGTTCTATATAGAATCATTTCATGCTTAAATGGTTCTTTGAAATTGTTCATCAGATTGTTGGAGAATGTGCTGTGCATTTTTCCTTTATAGAACCTTTTTTTAGCACCAAAAAGGGTTCTGCTACTGTGCTTTTGTTTTGATGTCAAGCTGCATAGAACCATTTTCAAAAATCTGAAGAACCATTGCACCATACAAAGCATGAAATGGTTCTACATAGAACTCACAGTTCTAAATATAACCACTGTCTTTACTGAAGAACCCTTAAAGAACCATCCCTGTGAGACATTTAGTGCACTATTTGATGTGACTCGTGTAGTGCACTACCTAGGGAGTATGGTGCATTTTGAGACACAGCCATAATTGCTAAGTTCTTTTGTTGCTTACCACGGATAAACTGATGGACGCTGGTCCTGCCCCCCTCCAGGGTGATTAAGGGGCAGTCCGGAGCCCGATGGCCCACAAAAGCGGAATCCCCAAAACAGCTCCAGCAGCCCCGCAGAACGGCATCCAGGAAGCGCGGTGTGGTGAAGGACGGAGCCCAGTCCTCGTAGCGGAAGCGCGGGTTGAGGCTCATGGTGCTCCGCTCCCCCAGCCGGAGCATGATCCTCCGGGCCAGAGCGGGGCTCAGCACGGACAGCAGGTTCAGCGCACAGAACTGGACCAGCAGCAGCAGCAGCATAAAAACAGAGCTGACATACACGCCCAGCCTGCGGAGAGCGAAACTCACAGAGAGCCACATCGCCTCAGACAGCGACGCCGACAGACGCTCGGACAAGAAGCCAGTCTGTCTGTCTGTCCGTCTGCCAGGAAACTGTCCGGTCACTCCTAAAACTTTGTTGTTGTTGTGACGTCGTTTATGGTTTCTGCTTCTCCATTGAAGTTTACGCGCATACCGCCATCTAGTGGGCTGCGACGGAATCGAGATCCACTTAAAGAGCACATAGGCTGCATTTCCATTGCGTTTTATTAATGAACACTATTGTTATCCGATTTGTGCTCTTCTTCTGTTTCTTCTTCTTGTAGACAGCTTTTTGATCGGATCTGTGAAAAATCGTTAAATAACAATTTTCCCTTTGGAATGAATGGGGTGCAAAAGTATGTACACCCTGCTTATACCACTTTGATACAAGTCCATTAGAAACACCCAGTTAAGCATGTGGGATATAATAGCAACCACCAGCAACCACCTAGCCAACCCCCTTGAAATTACCTGGGATAGCATAGCAACTGCCTAGCAACCACCTGGGATACCATAGTAACAACCTAGCAAAACCTGAACAACCACCTGGAATACCATAGCAACAAACTAGCAACATCCTAGCAGTCATCAGGAATACCATAGCAACCGGTTAGCAACACCTTAGCAACCACTTGGGATACCATAGCAACCACCTAGCAACCACTCGGGATACCATAGCAATCACATAACGACATCTTAGCAATGCTGGGGATACCATAGCAACTACCTAGCAACACCATAGCAACCACCTGGGATACTATAGCAATTATCTAGCAACACCCTAGCAACCACTTGGGATACCATAGCAACCACCTGGCAACCACTTGGGATACCATAGCATTCACATAGCAACGTCTTAGCCACCGCTAGGGATACCATAGCAACCACCTGGGATGCCATAGCAACCATCTAGCAACTACATGGAATGCAATAGCAACCACCTAGCAACACTGTAACAACCACTTGAGATACCATAGCAACCATCTAGCAACACCCTAGCAACCACTTGGGATGCCTTAGCAACTGCCTAGCAACATATTAGCAAGCTGAAGCTGTGCAATCACTCTGCATTTTCTTCAGGAAATGTACTTTTCTAGTTTTATTTGTCCACTTATGACATTTGAATGGGTTTATGTACCAGAGAGTCATACTTTATTTTTACATGACCGACTGTGTTTTTGTTACCGTGCCTTTCATACTGACCTCTGCTCTGATTGGCTGCTCTCTTTTGTGTCTTATTCAAAAAGCAGTCCAAGCTGAGACACTCTTTATAACTTCAGAGAGAATGGATGAGTTAAACTGCTGTAGGCTGAATATGTGGACAAGTATGTTGGTTTTCATGACATCATGGAAACAATTATGTATAATTAGCATAATTAAACTAGTTAAACTTAAATCTTTAAGGTATAAACTAAGTCATTCAGGGTGGTGTGATGTAAATGCTGTTCTAGAGAAGCTTACAGAGTCAGAATGATTCACAGCAGTGGTATTTTTTAAATATATGCAGGACAGGCAAAACAGCCCCCGAGGGAAGTGAATTTACCTAATCTAGATTTACTGTGTTTACCATTCTCAGCATTTCATATAAAAACTCAGGACGAACATGTAGGTTCACTGGTGGTTTTGGATAGTAGTTCCTATCACTACCACTGTAAAGAAATCTGAGAACTGCCACTCAGTGATGTCCTCTGGGTTTGTCAAACACTAGAGGGCACTCCTGAGCGTGTCCGAAATTAATGGGTTAATATGGAACATTTGAGCAAAATCAAGTTTGTAAATGCATAAACATTTTACTTAGAATGAATTCATTTCCTGAACATAGAACAGCATAAAACATTTTAACACCATTGTTATATTTTTGAGCGCTTTTTGAGCTCCAGTTATATGACTTTATAACAGCGCCTCATGTACATTCATGACGCCAGTGAGGGTAAATTGCTTTTCTCAGCCAGTCGGCTGCTCTATGGCCAAACAATAGCAGTAAGGCTGACCAATCAGCACTCAGTAGCAGTAAGGCTAACCACTCAGCACTCAGTAGCAGTAATACCAACCAATCAGCACTCAGCAGCAGTAATGCCAACCAATCAGCACTCAGTAGCACTAATACTAGCCAATCAGCTCTCAGTAGCAGTAATACCAATCAACCAACACTTAGGAGCAGTAATGATAACCAATCAGCACTGAGTAGCACTAATACCAACCAATCAGCACTCAGGAGCACTAATACTAACCAATAAGCACTCAGTAGCAGTAATGATAACCAATCAGCACTCAGTAGCAGTAGGGCTAACCAATCAGCACTCAGTAGCAGTAATACCAACCAATCAGCACTTAGTAGCAGTAATACCAACCGATCTGCACTCAGTAGTACTAATGCTAATCAATCAGCACTCAGTAGCAGTAATGACAACCAATCAGCACTCAGTAGCACTAATGACAACCAATCAGCTCTCAGTAGCAGTAATGACAACCAAACAGCACTCAGTAGCACTAATACTAACCAATCAGCACTTAGTAGCAGTAATGATAACCAATCAGTACTCAGTAGCAGGAATACTAACCAATCTGCACTCAGTAGTACTAATACTAACCAATCAGCACTTAGTAGCAGTAATGATAACCAATCAGTACTCAGTAGCAGGAATACTAACCAATCTGCACTCAGTAGCACTAATACTAACCAATCAGCACTTAGTAGCAGTAATGATAACCAATCAGTACTCAGTAGCAGTAATGATAACCAATCAGTACTCAGTAGCAGTAATACTAACCAATCTGCACTCAGTAGCACTAATACTAACCAATCAGCACTTAGTAGCAGTAATGATAACCAATCAGCACTTAGTAGCACTAATACTAACCAATCAGTACTCAGTAGCGGTAATACTAACCAATCTGCACTCAGTAGCACTAATACTAACCAATCAGTACTCAGTAGCAGTAAAACTAGCCTCTCTACTTCAAAAAAAAGTCTACTTTAAATCTACTAAAATTAGGAAGGTTCTGGACAAATGGCTAGAAACTATTTTAACTTTATGGTTTTAGCCGTTTAGCCCCACTCACTCACATTCACTTAGGACTCGCCCGCGGGCGCCCTCTATAGGTAACGTTGATATAACGGGAGTAATATTAGTGGCCGGCTCTTTAAACCGGCTCTGATCAACCACTCTCAATTACACTGCTGCGCCCCTCGCGCAGGATCGCGCTCTCACTCCAAATTCAAAATTCAACGGAAACCTAACGGATCAGCGCCCGCCGGAGCCCACCGCCATTCGCTGAACCGCTACTGCTGAGGAAAAGATTAGTTATTTAAGGTATAATTTTCGGATATTCACAGTTGTTTGTCCTGAGACTTGATAACAGACGTTAACGAGTCATCAAAAACTTTAAGTCTGATAAGTTAATGTAAAGACTTCGTTAACAGCTGATTGTAGTTTGACCGAGCAACATAAACGGCAGGTCGTCCTTGGTGAAATTAGCCAGCTGGGCTATCTGAGGTTATACTGAGGTAAAGCTGTGAAGTTAAAACTGATGGGTAAGTTTTTCTTTTTATGTAGGCGTCTGAAGCAGAGCGAGGTAATAACAATTGAATCTCAGGTGGATGTAGTGATAAATTTACTAACCTAACTATCAATAAATGAGTTAACTCATATCTTCTGGGAGAGCTGGGATAGCTAAGCTAGGTTAGCTAGCTCATATTTACGCACTTTAAAAAAGAATATGGTTCATCAAGGGTTCGTTATTAACCTCTTATTCTCCAGGGTATATTTTGGTTTTTTTCTTCTGAATTTACATGACCAAATCATAAGGCAAATTATTCAGTAACAGCATGAAATGAATGTCCATTTGTATTTTATTTATTTCTATTTTTTTTGTAAAAGCTCCCCTCAAATTAACAGAAAATGTGTTGTATGATCATAAACATATTGCTATATGATTACAATTTACTGCTGAAAGCCAAAAATCTGAGACGCTCTTTGTATTATTTTATAAAAATAATTTTTACAGAGCAGATCACTGAAGAGACGCCGTCTGTTTATAGTTTATAGCCCAGATTTGTGGAAAAATGGGTCGACTTTCAGTAGAAAAAAAAAATGAGTTCAACTTCTTTTATTATAGGGGTTTAAAATTACATCACCCATCTATTTGACTGGAAAGAAGACAGTTACAGCTCTCATACGATCCCCACCTTTTGAGTGTAGCTTATGAAATATGAAAATTGTGAAGAATATGACGAAGTGCGTTTTGGAACCACCGGTGGTCCCAAGGAGCTGAAGAGGTTTTAAGTATCTATAGTATGATATTAAGTATCTATACTATGATATACTTCTATATCATGGTGCTTTGGCCACGTCACTAACTGGATGGGACAAAACCTTCTGCAGTTGAGTGGAGATAAAACAGATTATTTTATTGGGGAATAGCATTGAGAGGCACAGATTAGCTGCCTGTCTGGATAGGAGAGCCCTAAAATCTAAAGTCCTAGCACGTAACCTTGGTGTTCTAATGGATTCTGATCTCAGTTTTAGCAGTCGTGTCAAAGCAGTTATCAAATCAGCTTTTTATCACCTTAAAGATCAGAGATTTTCTGACTAAAGCAGACCTGCAGAAACACATCCGTGCCTTTATTTCTAGTAGGATTGATCACTGTAATGGTCTCCTAACTGGACTCCCCAAAAAAGACAATCAAACTGCTTCAGCTGATTCAGAATGCAGTTGCCGGAGTCTCACTAGGAGTAAAAGAAAGAACACATTGGCCCCCCCATTCTTAAATCCTTACACTGGCTACCAGTCTGATACAGAATAGACTTTAAGATACTATTACTGGTCTATAAATGTCTTAATGGTGCAGGAACAGCGTATTTATCTGATCTGCTGCAGCGATATGAGCCCAGCAGATCTCTCAGATCATTAGTAACGAGTCAGTCCTGCTGAAGGTAAAGACTAAACATGGAGAAGCAGCGTTTAGGTACTGTGTAGTTCTTAAGTGGAACCAGTTGACAGAGAGCATTAGAAGAGCCCTTACACTGGACACTTTTAAATCTAGGCTTAAAACATTCTTATTTG